AGAGATCCATGAATATGTTCAACTGTACACTGCCGCCGCAACCAACGCCATCCGTGCGGGCTTCGACGGCGTCGAGCTGCACGGCGCGAACGGGTATCTCATTGACCAATTCCTGCAGGACGTGTCAAACAAGCGCACAGATGAATACGGTGGCTCTGTCGAGAACAGGTGCCGCTTCGCGTTCGAGATCATTGAGTCCGTAGTGAAAGCGATCGGCGTAAACAAAGTCGCCATTCGCCTGAGCCCCTGGAGCACGTTCCAGGGTGTGTCCCAAGAGTCTTTTAGTGGCCTTGCGTTCCTTGATGTTGCATTCACTGCCAGACATGGGCATGAAAGACCCGAAGCCGACGTTCGCCTACCTTGTCTCACACATCGCCGAGGCGCATCCGGACTTTGCGTATATCCACGTCGTCGAGCCGCGCGCGGAAGGAGGGTCAGATCGCATCGTACTTGCGGCTGAGGTGCACATGCTTGACCGCCTCTCGATGCGCTGACTCACCTTTTACATACAGTCAAACGATTTCCTGCGCGAGATTTGGGCACCTCGCCCGTTCATCGCAGCCGGCGGCTTTACGCGTGACACCGCATTCGAGGCGTCAGAGAAGACTGGCGAGCTGGTTGCGTTCGGACAGTTTTTCATCTCCAACGTGAGTACTCTGGGGTTCATGCTTTCGAGAGGATATACTCACAGCATATTCGGCAGCCTGACCTTCCGTTGCGACTCGCGAAGAACTTGCCCATTGTCAAGGGCAATCGTGACACGTATTACCTTGTTGAGTCTCCCAAGGGATATATCGACTATCCGTTTGTCGACGAGACAGCTGCGAGGGTATAGATTTCTGCCACACTTTCATGTGCGGATTTGCAAGACGATCACTAGATGTATTATATCACAGGGAAGTAAAGCGAGGGAGGTAGAGCACATTGGCGTTGCTGTCTGTTGTTCGTCCATTAGACCGAAGATACTAGTTAAGCAAATTCTATGAGTGAGGATGGGGGTACTCAGCTGCTCCCAACAAAGTTCGGACAATGCACGTCATGACATATTGCGACACGTTGTAGTCGACTTCATTTTGGCCATCCTGTGGATGATTCGGGCGTATCGCCGTGCATTTCTATGCCTGTGCTTCTAATTTGTCAGCGGCGTGCAGGTCACTGCGCTCAACTAAAGCAAGCAAACATAGGTTAGTACACGCGACCATAAAGCACAATGATCCCTGAGACAAAGATGATTTACATAAACCTGCCCGCATGTGCCCAACCTTTCGACATTGTCGCTCCTTGTGAGTTTCATCTAGTGCCCTTGAGGAAGGCGACACTGGTGAGATCACACTTCGTATCATATTCATTCCGTGCCCATTATCCTCTCAGCGTTTGATCCCGCGCTCAGATAGTGCAAATCTAGTCTGTGTTAAATGACACACAGATGCGAGGCCCATGCATGCGCGCCGCGAAGTGGGCCGAAGATTGATTTTTCGTTGAGCACCCCGTCTCGGTGGATCTCCGCTTTCGACGGTGTTTGAGCGATTTATGTGCAGTCGAGAAGCGGGACGTCCCTCCCAGTCAGAGCATGGACGGAGGTACCGCGAGAAGAAAAATGCAGTCGTCCTTGCAACGTCGTTCAAGGCCGCTAGAATATGGAATGGCATTCCGG